TTATATTATCTTATCTTATATTATATTATATTATATTATATTATATTATATTATATTGTATTCTATCATATTATATTATATTGTATTATATTATATTGTATTGTATTATATTATATTATATTATATTATATTATATTATATGATATTATATTATTATATTATATTATATATAATATAGTATTATTTCATTATATTTTACATTCTATTATTTTTTATTGTACTATAGTATATTATATTGTATTTATACAAAATTATACAAAGAAAAAAGGCCGAGCCACGCCGAGCCAAGCCAGACGAAGAAAAAAGCCGAGCCGAGCCAGACACATAGAATAAAAATGGAGGCCCCGAGCCAGACGAAGAAAAAAGCCGAGCCAAGCCAGGCACAGAGACAAAAAAAACGCCCCAAACGGCTTAGCACGGAGTTGTGCATCAAGAGTGCCCAAAAGGCTCTCAGCAAGACCATCCGTGTGTTCTCGAGGCCTCGGCAGGGCGAGGCCAGAGAGGCTGGCAGAGGCCAGTTGATCTTCTTCCGTCGGGGTGCTTTCTTGATTGCCAGGGTCAGGATGCGGCAATAAGATCAGGCTGCCGCTTCAAGGCGACACTGGCACGTCATGTTCAGCGAACAATGTCTATGACACGTCTTGCAGTTGGCCCTGTCCGCTGTCCGGATGGACCACGCTTGAAGCTTTACGGTGACGATGTTTTAACACACGGATTTTTTGAACAAACAACTATGTTATAAACAAGCGCGATCCCTTTTTCACTCCACCCCTTCCGTACTTGGACGGGCATGTTGGGCAGTCTGGGCTGTCTTTCTGAGTTCGCCTCTCGTGCTTGGACGGTTGCGGCTCCACTCGAAAGGAAGACGGTGCGAGACTTTTCGCAGGACTTCGCATGGCATCCTGGTGGGTCGGAAGATGTCGGAGTTGACCATCGAACTGTCACAGCTACGATGTGGGGACTCCAGGATCAGCCACCCCGGTGCCCAGGAGAGCAGTCCAGAGGCTCTGTGACTCTACGCCCGCACAGAGCCAAAAGAGGCAAACACCTCAAAAGCAAAAGAATGAAAGAAGGGAGAGAAGAGAGCTCAAATAGCTCAAAGGCTCAAAGACCGAGAGCCTCCCCGTTTCCTCCCGCCCTGCGGGCACCTTCTCTTGCCTCGGCACCTGGATCTCGCAGCCGATCGATGCCTCGCAGGGCAACAGAGAGGTAGGGAGGGGAGGTTGGGAGCTGTCGAAGGCCACCTTGATGATCTTCAAGTTCATCCCCTGCCTCCCGATGATCTTCCCAAGGTCCGTCCAGAGCACCTCCAGATCACGACAGCCCTTTCTTCTGGCTTTCCAGTGGAGGGAATTCTTTCTCTCTGGGCGCACCCTGTGCTCTTCCTTAAACTTGGGCTCCTTCTCCTTCTTCGCCGGACCTTTCTTCTCCTGAACCTCGAAACGCAAAACGGAAGCAACTCCCACAAGTAGAAGCGACTGTGGCGACTCTGTGGCGACTCTGTGGCGACTCTGTGGCGACTCTGTGGCGACTGTGGCTTCGCACGAGGGACGGGTCTTCCCAGGACACTTCGTTGGTGTTCATGTTCCAGAAGTAGAACTCGCCCTGAGCACATCGAGGGGAGAAGCGAAAGATGATCTGAAGGAAAGTGGATTCGGACGAGCCCTTTCCGCTCCTCATGTGGGACTCGCACCTCAGGGGGGGGGGGGGGACAGGCCCCACTTCGAAAATCTCCTTTTGGGCGCGCCGAGGTGGCGACCCAGCCCGGGGGCAGTGGAGGCCCTGGCGGAGGCCCCGGCGGAGGCGGAGCCGGCTCCGGTGGAGGCTGGGGAGCCGCAGGAGCCTCCGAGGGCACAGCCGAAGATGCGGCCTGTCGCAGTTGCGGCGGCTGCTCAGCAGCTCTCTTTGCAGCTCCGCTTTTTGCTTCTCTTTCTCCTCTCTCTCTATAGTGCCTGCAGCATCTGCCGCTTCGCTTCTGGCTCGGAGGAAGGCGCTGGCCGTTTGAGCTCCGTCCGTAGGACAGGAGCCGAGGCGTAGACCTGACACCACAAAAGAAGCTCAAAAAGGACAGAACGTCAAAAAGGAGGAGCGGCTGAGGAGGCTTGTTCTAGGCTTCTGCGCCTGCTGAGGTCTCGTCTGAACGGCTGCGGGCATTGGCGGTGCCATCACCTGTGAAGGCTTGGCCAATGCATGCAGTTGCACTTCGTGCAGTTTGCGCGCCGTGGCCCAGTCCGCATCGATGCGAGCTGCAGCCGCAGCCGCTGCGGATTGCGCCGCGGCCAAATCCATAGGGGTCTGAGTCGCTCTGGTGTCGACACGGCACGACGTGTCTTTTCGTCTTTTCTAGGGCCGTCACAAAAGAGGGCATCGGCGGCAGATCCAAGGCTCTGGCTGTCGCCTGCGACACACCGGTTCACACCGGCTTCTGAATTGTGCTTTTCTGTTAGGTTTAGGGAGCTCCTTCACGGACTCACGGCCTGGACGCCCATGGCAGGCGGGGCGGTGACCGCTGGCTCTGGCGCGGTTTGCTTCAGGTCGGCGGCTTTGAGGATGCCCCGCTGGAGCAAGCGCTGTCTCAACTTCTCCGGTAGCCTGCCAGCAAGGAACTCAAACAAAGGCCACTCGTCTACTCGTCCCTCCGCCTGGCAATGCTTTCCGGGGTGTGGCCAACTGGGCGGAGACTGAGGCAAAGGCAAGTGCACCGTCAAGTACGGAAGCTGGGTAACATGCTGGCGGAGAAGTTGCCTGATGCCAACGACAACATACGATAAAATGCGAAAAAACCATCTGCCGTTCAAAGCTGGACGGGCTGAGGAGTTCTCCCAACATTACGCTCTTTTTGCTGCGGGTGACTCCCTCTTCCTTGGCCTGCGGGCGGCGGCTCCGCAGGCAGTGGCGGCGGCTCGTCTGTGAGTGGCAGGGAATGGCAGGCAGGGAAAACCCAAAGCAGGCTTAGACTTTACGTGCCTCCACCGTCATCCTGCCATGATGCAATCATCTCACGTCAAGCCCTTCGCTTCTGCGCTCGCCTCTGCCATGGCTCAGCGTGTCATACTCGGTCATGCCAGAAATCAGAAGTCACACCATAATATCCGTTCTTTGCACCAGAGTTCTCAGGAAATCTCAGGCTCGGGGGTCTGTGTTCTGGTGTTTGGGCTCAGAACAAGCATGGCTGCGCAAGCACAGCACAGTTGCACCGGCATGCCACCTGCTGCTTCGATTTGCTGTACTGCAAACGGGTCTTTTCCAGGCTTGTGGCCTCTACTTCTCCTTTATCTGTCTCCCGGAATCGCCGCCGGCCTGTGAACTTCGGACGGCACGAGGGTGAGCACGTGCTTGCTCCTCTGGCCTTTTAGGTCCAAGAACTGCCGGAGCTCGGAGTACACAATTCCTGCACCATCGCAAGGATTCTGCACTGCGTCCGGCTATGATCACCCAAAAAGGCACCTTCAAGCCTCAGCAATGGAAGCTCCTGCAAAGCAAAGTCACGGTGTGGTGGGTTGTTTTGGGTCTTGTTTTTTGCTGGCACTGCGGGGTCACTGTCCTGGGATCCTGTTTGAGGCATGTCAAGAGCTCCGTTAGCATCCTTGGTCCACCTGGCAGACACATCGCCAGATGCACCGCCCTTTCTTTGGCTTTGCTCTTCGAAAACCCTTTCAGTTGTGCTTGTCAAGCTCTGTTCCGTTGGACGCAAACCACCCGAAAAACGCAAGACTGCTCCAAAATATACTGCGTGGCCTCCGTGTATCCAGAACTTTGCTGGGCTGGCCGCGGACCTGTGAGAGAGCCACACTGCAGGTGGCAGCGCATGCACTGCCATCGGCAAGCAGCAAAAGTAAGGCCCTGCGGCGGTCATGCGGCGGTCATGCGGGTCGCAGTAGTATCTTTTTTGCACCCTCGCGGTCTGTAAAAGTGAGGTTCTGGTTCAGCCTTGGTTTCAGTATGATCCGCCCATTGGTGGTGCTGCCGCCATCATTCCGGCGCCTGCCGGTGGAGCCTGTTGTTGGGGGCGGTAGCCCATCCGTGTCAAGAACTCCATATAAGTGCTCTGCAGACCGATTGTTCGATCTTCGATGAGCGCAGCGAAAAATTTGTTTTCTTTAGGCTCACCCTGTCGTATCACGTGCAGCTGCATGTAGGGAGTGGGTCGCTCAAGCCGCACCTGTCTAAGAATGTTTGCAATCTTGGTGGACAGCGGGTCTCCCCGAGTACCGACTACGCTTTCTGCCGAGTTGGTGTCAATCTGCTCGAAAGAGCTGACTCCGAAAACAGCCTGCACAAAGCTGGTGTCCACCGACCTTCCGATCCACATGTACACGGATTCCCCATCCTCGAGCAGGTAGACCCCGTCCTGCGTCATCGACTCACTAGTCAAGTTCAGCATCTCCGGAAGCTGCACTCGGCCATGCTCATCCGGTGTCTGACATGTCTCAGGCGCATTGTGGATCGCCATGAGCCTTGGATTGAAGAATGCTGCTGTCTGGGAGACAGACAAGGTTTCTAATCGCATCATGATGTAGGTCCGCAAGTCGGCCGAGATGTCGTTCGTGGCCCGGAAGGCCGCAGACTTAAGCATGCCCATGATGTAGAGAGGAAGGTATTGCAAGGCTTCCGTCTGACACACATTTCCTGCTTGAACCACTTGTTGGCAAAAGGAGTTGAGCTTATTTCGACCCTCCGTCTGGTTGGTCTTGATTGACTGATCCATGGCCTGGTGGGACATCATCGCTGCACTTGCCTGCACATCGATGGAGCCGATGATGTCATTGAAGTTGGGCGTGGTCAGTGCGGCCCAAGTGTGCACTCGTATGCGTCGCTCGCCCTCACTGTTGGTGTAGAGCAGGGCACTCTGTACGTAGAGCACAGGGTCTGGTGTGACATTATCATCCATATCGATCTGAATGGCAAAGGTCTGGTCAGAATGACAATTGGGAACTACCAGGAGGTCCTGTCCTCGAATGAAAAGGTGCCCGTCAAACTTGGTGATCTTCCAGCCCCGCGAGACACGGACTCTCATGACCGCCTCCCATCCCATGTAGCGCGTTAGCACGTGCACCAGCTCGCTCTTGAATTTCACCTTTGCTCACAACTCCATGAAGCACTGACGATCAGAATGCATGTTACACAGACCTCTTTGCCAAGGGTCAAAGCAAGTATTGATGTTGAACTGAGGATAGTAGTGGACATCACCGCCCGTGTACTTTGCAAGTGGGCAAATGGAAGCCAAGTCCATATAGGCCTGGGGGGCCAGGAACAACTCGACGGAGATTTGCGCAGGAGTCAGCTCCTGCCAGAAAGAGATGGGCCTATGAGGTCCTTTTGCGGATCTGACGGTCACGGTCTCTGTCCTGCGCCAACTGCTTGTACCCGTCGTTCCCTCCGAAAGGCCAGAGCAAGCACGGAAAAACTTGGAGACTCTTTGCACTGCATTCTCTTTCTTTAGCCCAGACGCCGGCAGGCCGCAGCAATTCCACTTCGCGGTCTGTGCCAAGCAACCTGGTTCGCGACTGCACAAGAACTGACGATGAGAAAAAGTGAGAGATGCCTCGCAGCGCAGCTCCCACCTTGGGTTATCTCGGGTCGACTTCAGCGCCAGCTCGCCCACGCTGGGGATGCAGGCACCGAAGACCAGAAGTTTGCCACCGATATGCTTCATCGCCTCACAGAGCGCTAAGAGCGCCGAGAGCGCTGAGGAAGGGCATCTCTTGAAATTAGCTTTGAAGATCGGGGTTTCTTAGAGACTTAAAGCGAGTGGCCATGAAGGCTCCACGCACCGCGGAGCCCAGGCAGGACTCGTTGACTTTAGTCTCGCCAAAAATTGATGGCAAGGAGTCCAGCAAGTTGAGAATGGCAGCCTCACTCTCTGCTAGGGGCACGAGGATGTCGTCTGGCAAGGGAAGGAAAAGATCTTCAAGGTCTGAAACCACGAGCATCTGTGGCTGGCTCAGATTGGAATTTAAGTTGTAGAAGTGTAAGCTGGTGTCAAAGGTGATAATGCCCACCTGGACACGCTGACCTCCAGGAATGCTGCCTGACTGAATGGCCTCCTTGATGCTTGCCACAACGGTGTTCAACAAGCCCGTCACCACTGAGGTGTACGAGACGTCGATCACGAACATGAAGACGGGAGGCTGTGGAGGCCTCACCATGTACTCACCCGGTGCGATGTACTCGACTGCACCTTTGTGCAGCTCGGCTCGCTGGAAGCGGTCCATACGCTTGCCTGACTCGTCCAGGCTGGCATAGTACGTGTCCGGTGTTAGCTGAGAGAAGCCACAAAGGTTGCAATTCCAGCGACGGCCGTTCGCCTCCCACTGCACAAAAGGGTTCACGTACGTTCGGCACTGCTTGCATCTGACGATCGTCCCCACAGCACCAAAGTTTACTGAAGGGACCTGCTCCACATCCGGAGCCAAAGGTGCCAGGGGTTGCAAAACAACACCCAAGGGGATGTTTAACCTCTGCTTGGCACTCGCTGAGTTGGGCAGTCTTGAAACTGAACAACGAACAAAATGAGCTGGAGAGTTGAAGGTCTCTACATCACGCAGAAATTGCGCAGAATATGCATCTTGTCCAGTGCTTGTCGGCTGCATCCCGCCATGCCCGGGAGCACCTGGCGCACCTGGAACAGAAGCATCCGCTTGAGGGTAGAGACCTCGTGCTTGTGCTGTTGCAGCAGCACCAAATGCTGCTGGTGGCTCTGTGTGAGCTGCCGCACCCATGCCTGTTCCAGGAAAGGTCGAAGCAGCTGGAGTCGTTCTCATCTGATCCACTGTGGGTGGAGGTGGCACGCTTGCTGGGGCAGGGCCTGGTGGACCGCCCATGGGCGGCGCGCCTAGAGGTGGCCCAGCCATGGGCGGCGCGCCCATGGGTGCCCCTCCCATGGGAGGACCTCCCATTGGAGGTCCGCCCGCTGCGGGTCCGCCTGGAAATGCCGTGGTGGGGGGTGCTCCGAAGGCCGAAGTGGGTGGAGCTCCACCGGCGGAACCTGCGAAGGGGCTGGCTCGGACATTGCCAGCAGCCGCGAAGGGGCTTGCAGTGGCAGGAGCACCGGCCGCTCCGGGAGGCCCAGCTGGATATCCGGGACTGTAAGGATGCATGCTGCCTACCCCGCTTGAGCTACAGCTATGTCATGAACATCGCAGATGCAAGTGCGAAAGACATGAGATCACTGGCAACAGCGGGTGCTGACACTAAGTAGCAGACCAGGAATGGCATGCTAAATCGTTGTTTTCCCGAGTCCTGTGCAGCAACCGAAGAGAGATGGGAGCTCCTAAGCACACGACGGCCTCACAGCAGACCCGGTGTCTGCAAGCCACGTATGCACCCCTTGTCATAACCTGCCCAATCTGGCCGGTCGTCGTGTTCTCGCGATGTCAAGCTCGAAGCCTCCAGGAAGTCGCCGACGAATGCGACCAAGTGACCCTGCGACAGCCCTGACCTTTCACAATCTGAGAGAGACGAAGCGATCCGGTGGCTCTACTGTTTAAGAACCCCACTCCACATCCAACCAGGGCAGTCCAGGGCTTTCAAGATCTCGGAACTGCAACCTCAAGAGAGAGCGGCCGCTACGCCGCTCCGCAGCGCTGCTACGACGCTGCTCCCCCCTCTCTTTCGTGTCCGGGTCTTCTGCCCGGGAAGAGAGCCCACGGGCCTCGGACTCCGCGAAAGGAAGAGCCTCGCGCGGCCCGGCCCGGGCCCCCGACGCGAGGGTCAGGAAGGAGGCATCCGTGTGCTCATCGAAGACAACTGCCCGGGGGCCAGAGGGAGCGAAGCGGCGAAGCGGCGAAGCCCCAGTGCCTGATTCCAGCTCCGCCGCGACCGCCTCCGAGCCCTGTTTCAACGCTCTGAGGACTCGGCCATGAAAGGACCGCTCAGAGGCCTCAGATTTGGCCTCGACTTCTTCGGCTTCGGCCTGGAAGCCGTAGCTGCAGAGACCTCGGAAAGACGGCTCCAGGCTCCCAGCTCGCAATGAAAGAGACCCGGGGCGAGGCCCCCGCGCAACACCGAGGCGCTGCAGTCGCCGTCCTCTCTGTCAAAAAGATTGGCAACGGACGCCGTGCGAGGTCGTCGAGTCGTGCGAAGTCGGCCCGCCGTGCCTCTAAGTTGGAGAGCGAGGCCTCGTCGAGGCTCCTCGGCACAGCGTCTCGCGGAGCGCACGAGGCGAAGCCTCGGAAGGCCCCGAGCCCCCAACTGGAGCAGCGCCTCGGGGGGAATTTCCAGAAACTCCGCCATCCACGCGATCAAAGACCTCGCCAAGGCCTCACGTCCGCGCACGGAGGCGCACGCACAGATGCTCGCTCTCTCTCCGAGGCAAAGCCTGCAGAGCCTGGTGCAGCTCGGCTGCTCTGCGGCCCAAAGCTGCGGGAACCTGCCCACCGGCGCCCCGATACTCCGAAAGACATGTCCGACTCTGCTGTTCCCCGCCTTGGGTGCAGGAAGGCCACCACGCCCCGCAGCACGCGCATGCACCTCTTTACAGAGAGACCCAACACTCAAGGCAAAGGGAGAAAAGGCTCCGATCTTCCTGTCGCCTCCAAGAAGCGCGCGGACCCCCCTGCCAGCTCACGGTACCCCACCACCTCCGACGAACTTACGCAAGTGTTTCTTCAAGCAAGAAGCGAACCACCTCAGTCTAAAGCAGCAGCAGCAGCTTCAAAAACTTTCGAAGGTGCGCGCCATCTCTGTGCTGTCTCCGAGCGTGCGCTGCTGTGAGGATCGCCAGCCGAAACCTCAGGCCTTGTCCCGGTAGAGGCGCAATCGGCCAAGGGCACAGCGCTCATTGCGGGGACGTCGGAAGAACTAGCACAGACCAAGAAAGTCGGCGCACAAGACCGTCCTAGCAACGGCCCTCAACGAACAGCATGTTGCTGGGCCTCTTGGGCCAAGTCCTGCATCTCTGCGCAAAGGCGCTTCAGCGAATCTGGCAGCTCCTATGAGGTGGCGCAGGCGAAACGGGCCGCCCCCCCCTCTCCGTGGCCACCTCAAACCATGTCTACTTTGGCAGCTGGGACGAGGGGTTTTAATTATGCAAGGACTCATGTCTCGGTGTATGGGCAGCAGGCGCAGGCACGATGATGTATAGCATTCTGACTCGCGGAGCTGTCGGCCGCGGGAGCACGTCACGGCAGTGACTCCATCAAGCGATTCCCGACAAAAGGAAGAAAGCCTGAAGAGATGAGGGGAACACTCCATGCCAATGCCAGAAGATGCCACAAAAAATGAGGGGCCGCTCCTGGCGATGAGGGGTCTTAAGAGGACCTTCAACATTGGTGAGGGGGACACTGCTCGCGAGGGAGGACTTCAAGAGAATCGCCACCAGAAGACATGAGGGGCACAGTCTTTTGCGAGTTGAGGATTTCAAGAGCATCCCTACCAATAAAGATGAAGAGGACACCCCTTGCGGAAAAAAACATGTTCCAGAACATCATCGCCAAAAAAGATCAAGGGGACCTTCCCTATGATTGAGGGAAGGTGTTCTAGTGGATCAAGGTGGGCACGCGATGCGAGATGCCAAAAAACATCATCAGCAGAACAGATGAGGGGGACACGGTTTGAAGAGCGTCACCACCAGAAAAGGTGCGGGGGATGCCGCTTGCGATTGATGGCTTGAAGAGCAACATCACAAGAAAAAATTGAGGCGACAGTGCAAGCGATTGAAAGTTTTCTACATGACCTTTTCCATAAAGGTGAAAATACAGGTCCTCGAAAGTCCCGAGCTCCGTGAATTAAATAAATTAAACAAATGCAATCCAAAGGCCTCCCCCAATATTTGCATTATTTAAACTTTCAATTCCGGGGTTCGGGACCCCCGGGACCAACTACTTAGAGTACTTAAACTACTTAATAAGAAATAACTAAATTAAATCCGGAGGCCTCCCCCAATATTTTGCTTGAATATCTATTTAATTCTGCTCTTGGAACCTGTCGGAAACGCAAACCCGGTCTATTTGGCAGCCGGTTCTCGAGGTTGGGATCCCCATGGTTCCAGCTGCCAAATAGACCAGGTTTAAGGTGCACACCACACCCCCCTCCCCCCGGCACCAGCACACACCAGCCGCGAGTTGCCAGGACCTGCCAGGGCCAGTGCGCAGTGCAACTCGAAACAGTGCTGAGCTGGCGGCTGCCGGCGCCCTGGACCCTGGCCTTGCACATCTCCATCCTGTCCTCTTCATTCACCCTCAGCTTCTCCCAAGAAAAAGCGGAGCGCTCGCAGGAATCCACGGAGTGCCTCCCAGGCCGTGCCACATGCCTAAACGGCCTAAACATGCAACGCTCTTTCGCGAGGGCCAGGCCTGGGCCTCGCAGCGCCGTGTGCCGCCATGGCGCGAGCCATGCAGCTGCCGGCGCCATGGCGCCATGTGCCCCTTGAAGCTTCCGGCTGCGGCGGAAGCGGCGTCTTCGGAGGCTAAGCTAAAGCAGCTAGAGATTCACAGACCATCGGAATTTCCCACGGCACACAGCAGTGAAACCAGTGATTGCCACATCTGTGGATGGACCGACCTACTGCGACAAATGCAAGTCGGCGACATGCGACACACTGTCACCTTTGTGGGGGTGCTTCTGCGAATTGCCGACTGCACACCTGCCGTAAGATGGCAAAGATGCCACAACGAACTACAGGAGCAACCGAATGCGATATTCTCGCGACGGCTGCATATTGCAATTGAATTAACTTGATGGAAAGCCGAAAACCCTGCATGTTGCGAGGCTCGCAGCTTTGGCATAAAATGTTGAAGGTCAAACATGACCACATGGAAGCAAAGGCTGCTCGTTCAACTCCTTGCAAGAGCCCACATTGAATCAAGACAAGACAGAAAAAGAGCATCACGTTGCAACACTGCGCTGGCAGGCCAGGTGCCTCAAAATTCTTGTTGTTCGGGAAGGCAGTGTAGAATGGCGGCTTGTCCCTGCAAGACATTCCACAACTCATAGCTGTCATAGCACTTCCAAGCTGTTCGCATTATAGGTGGTAGGATGTCATGGATACACCATCCAACTGCGCGGCACATGGCCGAAGTCTGGGTCCCAAGGAAAGCCCTTCGGACACGATATGACGTGTGGAAACCCAAGGTGCTTATCGCATGCTGATGGGCGCGTGCTGGCAAATAAGACTCGGATTCGTGCCCTGGGGGTGTAGAAACCCGCGCCTGATCTTGGGCAGCTCCAGGTAGTCCTCTCGCGGAAAGCAGCGGTGCAGTGAGACAGCGAGAGCCGAGCGGGGCCGAGCCGGGGCGAGCCGGGCCCCCGGCGTTGCGCAGCTCGAAGGGCCTCTCCAAGTAGGGCACCGACCTCAAAAAGGCCCAAAATCTGTTTCGGGGCAGTCTCCTGCCAACAGCTTGGGCCCCCGTCGTGTGGACGCTGGCAGGCGGAGGGCGTTCCGCGAGTCGCCCCGGTGCTTTGAAGTCTTCCGGCGAGGTGCGGATCATCTTGCAGAGCCTCACCAACACGCTGCACAGAGCGCCGAGCGACCTGTACAATTTATTGATAGGCCATTCTGGAATCAGCATCTGATTCAACCTAGGCCCTAGGCAAAGTTCAGAAACCCTGGGTGCTGGACCACGATTTGTCATGTCCAGGATAAACTCAACAGCAATCTTCAGTATCTAAGTCTGTGTGGATGCTTCTCAAAATGTTCAACCCACTAGGTATCATCCTACTACCAAGCCATTGCTTTCGTGTGCGCTTCTCACCATCCCTACAAATATGGTGTCTAGTGAGCTTAGTGAGTCTAGTAGATATGGCGCGTACCCTGGCATTACAAATCTTGAGCCTCTCATCCTGGCAATCCGTCCTTGCAGACTGTTTCAAGACCGTGAAATTTTGCCAATCCCCATCAAAACCCCACCAAACCCCGCCATGGAGCCTGAATATACATTGTCACAATTCGTGTTTGTGGAGGCGGCGCCCGTACGGGGCCCTGAACCAAGACCCCCCTTCCGCAAAAAAGGCCTCCGAAAACCAAAATGCAGTCCACGCTGTGACCAGTGCACGATCTCAAAGCAGCAGTGCTCTTGACACTCTAAATTTTCAATACCCGTTGGTGGAAAAACAAAAGAAGTCTCACAGGCGCTGAGCAAAAAGGCAGTTTCGCGAAAGGTTTGCATGAGCCTCCCCTCGCCCATGCAAAACCCGCGTTTCGCTCAAGTTTTGGCCACGCCACAGTGTTGCATTACCAAAAATATGCGTCTAAACGAAGCGTCCAGTACGGGAGCCGGCACCATGTGCTGGCAAATTTGGGCACCTGTAATCAATACGAGTGTTGCCTCAGATGAACCAAGCTTTACAGTTTTGCGTTTTCAATGGCGGCACAACAGCTCATCGACCGTTTGTTCATGGTGATATAGAGCTCTGGGTACAGCTTCTCCATATCTAGTCCCTGCACGATTGTTTGTCGACCCTCGTACATCCCATTTTGGGAGGTGTATTTTTGAGAATGCCCCTCTGAAGCCACTTAACCATTTGACCCTCTGCATGGGTTGATACCAAACCGTCCAGTGCACAGTTCACTAATTCACCAAGATCCCAGTTCTTGACCGTGTGGATGGCTTGGGAGCACTGGGGGAATGGAACGTTGAAGTGTTGAAAAGGTGAAACGATGGATTAGTGAAACGGTGAGTTTGTAGGAGATGAAACGGTTACAGGTTTGACCTTGACCTTACCATACCTTATTATCATATTATCTCAATGATTTTTGCGCTCACTGTGTCCGCGGCTTGTTCTGCATCTTCAGATCCCGCTCCACAGCATCGTAGGGAGACGTCGCCTGGCAAGGAGAATCAACAAACGTGCTTTCGGCATTCGCAAAGGGCGCCGCCTGCACGGACTTGTAGAGGTTGGCTGCTTTCACATTGGCCACCTCGATCTGTTCACGAGACCTCGAGAAAGCACAGGAGCGATGCAGAGCATGCTGCAACCTCACTGTCCCCATCTCAGATTACACTTCGAAGGGGAAATCGCCAGACTTTCTGTGAAAGTGGGACAGAAGGAACACCCAGCGAGCGCAGCAAGCCTGAGAAACATCTATCCTTCACAAGCTTAGCCCTACGTTGAAGCGGAAGAGATAACTGGAGCAGGGAGCTCGCCCCGAAAAAGCACATCCATCGCTTTTCACCCTCCTCTCTGCAGCGAGGCCGCGGCAGACATGCAATGCACATGCAGTATGGTGACATCGTGCTCTGCGCTTCGAGACGCTCCGCGGAGGTTCCAAGAACAGAAACGCAGAAAGACGCGGGAGGGCGTCAGCCACCAGGGGCACCTGCCTGAAAGGGCCCTGCACCCGCTGGCAGCGACCGGTGCTCGCCGTCCTCCGCGCCCGCGCTTCCGGTGTTTGCTTCTTTCTGTCACCTCCCCGTTTCGAAACACTGGCACTCCTCGAGGCGCAGGGCGCGCGGCCCGGCAGCTCTTGCGGAGGGCCGGCCGTGTGCTGGTCTCACAAAGCAGGGAAGGGGAGCGAGAGAGAGAGAGAGAGATAGAGCGAGGGAGAGGGAGAGGGAGAGAAAGAGAGAGAGACAGATAGAGAGAGAGAGAGAGAGAGAGAGAGATAGAGCGAGCGAGCGAGGGAGGGAGGGACGGAAGGGAGGGACAGAGAGATGAGGGAGGAGGGGGAGCAGTTTGCCTGCATTCATCACTCTCTCAGCTATACTGGAGTCAAAACCAAGAGTGCTGCCGGCCTGAAAGCATCTGCTCGGCTTGCGAGACTGCGGGCAAAGGCCAGTGAGTTTCGACTGCTTCTTGTGTGGTGGCTACTGGCCGGCCTCCAACACGGCTGCCACGCACGGCGCTGGCCTGACAGCCCGGGGCATCACTGCAGCATAAGACCTCGCCGTTTAGGCCTGGAGGCGGTGAGGGCGGCGCATCGACCTGTCACTCGGAGCGGAGTCCAAAACGCCTCGACAGAGGCAGGACAGACTCTGCCTGGGCAGTCGAAGACGTAAGGATTCTCGCAGGTGCTGCCTCGGCCACGAGAGCATGACGGCGACAACGGCGCGGCGCATCTCTCCTTGGGACCCGGCTCGATCGGCTTGTCAAAGGCCCTTGGCAGGTGGTCATTGTACGGCGGGTTGTAGACTCCTGAATGCTGGGGAGAGTCCAGGCGGAAAGACTCACGCACCTCTCTTCCGCCCAGTCCTGGAATGCTCTTCGTGCTCACCTGACAGAACGCCGAGGTCCGCGGGGGGCGGGGGGCCAAGCGGCCAAGTGCATCCGAGGGGCCAGGTGGTGGATGTCCCCGGCCACCGCCCGGAACTCCTGCCTCCAAGAGCCGAGAGCCAAAGGAGCAGAGCTCTGAGAGCTCAGACGGAGAGAGAAAGAGAAGCGAGAGGGGATGGATTTGTCTTCTTTCTCTACTTTGCTCTTCTACTCTCTGCTCTTCTACTCTTCTTCTCCCTTACCTCATCTGCTGCTCTTCTTCCATCTTCGCCAGTGCCAAGCGCTCCTGGCGGGCGACGCCGTGACGGCTCCGAAACTCCACAGTCGGCCGAGAGGGGGACGCGGTGATCATGAGCCAAGTACCTCGGACAAAAAGCTCCCTCTTCTGTGCCTTTCCTACTTGCACGGAGTTCCCCACGCATGGGTCCATTGTCCATGCTGTGCGCATCTTTCGACATACCTGGAAAGGCCAACGACGAGATAGGATCCGATCCGTATCCGACCAAGGTGCCTCTTCCTTCCCTGGAAGTCATGCAAGTGCCTGACAGCAGCTTTTTTGCTGAAGCAGTTTTCGTGAACTCAGCTGAGTGCAGGCCGCACACCTGCGACTCCACCAGCCGCGGAAGAAGCGCTGGATCACCACCTGCATGCGCGTAGCTTACTACCCCGCCCTACCCTGCCAAGTAGATGAGTTGTCGGAGGCTCGGCACACGACCGCTGATTGATGGAAGAACTGGTTCTGCAACTGCCTTGAGCCGCTGGCAAAGGGCAAAAGAAGGAAAAATCACCAGAATGGCCGATCTCAACTGGTGCCTGAGACGCTGGAATCGGAGAGTGCGGGCTCGTCGCCGGCCCGACCAGCCGCGGACCGCGCGCTGCAGAAAGGAGGCAACAGCAAAAGATCAACAATCTGTACTGTATGACCTGTGCCTGTATCATGAGCGTGGCACCCACCACTGCACGCCAACCTCCGAAAAGCAAGTCTGAAGTCTTGTGAAGTCTAGAAGTGTCTGACAGCTGTGGGAGGCCCCTGCTGCGCCGGATCTTCGAGGCTCGGAAGACGCTCTGAATCCTGGCATGCAGGTCGCAGAAGCCCATTAGGCCCAAGGAAACAGCCGCACATTTTCCCAACACAGCACTCGCCTCGTCACTGCCTGCACCTCCCTGGCTAAG